CCCCAAAACCCCAAAACCCCTAAGTATAGTTAATGATTTAAAAAAGCATTGTAATTTAATATAGATACAATAAAATATAATATAATTAAGATATTTATTAAAGAAACCAAGTACTTGCAATGTACTCAGAGTAAATAAAAAACTGGTTTTTTGTTAATCTCTATCTTTACTAAGTCCTGAGTATAAGAGTAACTTAGCCAGACAAGCAGTTTCCAATTATATTTACAGAACCAGATTTGGACTACTTTATTCAAGATGTCGATTCTGACAGTGCTATGAATATGATGATTCTAGGTTTAGTTTGAGGCTGATAGGCTTAAAATATCTTTATTAATTACAATTCTTACAATGGAGGGGATCCTATAACTAAATATGTTTCAAGTTGGATACTATCTTATGATCCATTACTTAATGATAATTTAGCCTTCACAAATTTATACTTGAGTTAAAGTGGAGATTATGCTATCTTTTACAACTCGAAGCAACCTCCATTTTTTATTTCAAATATGATCTTGAATGATTGATAGATTAAGTAACAACTTTTATTTGATAACACATAAAACTATTAAGGAATGTACATTAGCAATGTTGGAGATGAAAAGTTAATGATCCTATTTATCGATAATTAATAGTCTAAATCAAGTTTAGTTTTTATGCAAAAGCAGACATCTAGTGTTGCTACCTTCAAAATTCAAAGAATCCTAAGTTTATTTCCGAATAAAAAAATCTAGCACTTTCTTGGAGGACTGTGGTCATTTTCTGATTCTTAATCATGCATTTTAATTGGAAGACAATATAACAATTACACTGTTTACAAAATTGAATAGATTTTAAATGACTAGTTTTAAATGACTCTTCTTAGTACTAATTTAAGCATGAATGATTAGAATTAGGTCAATATCTATCACTCTTCATTATGGGGATATACTGCGACATGTCATACTAATCTTTAAGATACAGTACAACTATCAATTATAAATTTTGACAATTCAAGCGACTAGTTTTCATTCAATATGAAGTTTGGGTCCCCATAAACACTCGGAGAATGCGTTGACTTGTAGTTTGATTAAAGTTCTGAAATTCTAGCCATGATATATATGTCTACAAAATTAAACGGTTAAAATATCTTAATATTTGGAAATCCTTTTGGCGTAAGTTTTGAGTTCCGAAAATACAATTACTAATCTTTTTAAATACCTAGTAACTTCACAAAGTTAAAATTTTCCAAGGATTTTAAAACTAATTATTTCTTCACCTATCTTACAAATGAACTTGATTGCTCTTATAGTTCTGCGACAACTAACAAAAAAGCAGTTTTCTATTTTGACGAAGGACTTCATCATTGTATCTCAACAATAATAGATTTTTAAGCAGCAATTTACGGTTTAGATGATAAAACAATCATTGCTAGTAATTTTACAAAGTCCGAGTTGCTCCTACCGATTATAACACATTAGAATATAACCTAGAATATTGCATTCTATAGTAGCTCTATGACTAACTATCAAAATAATATAAATGAATGGGATTAGCCAAGAACTTGTGCTTAATTGTACAAATTAACTCCTATTGATATAACTTATTATCTGGGATATTTGGAAGAATAGGAATATTTTGTTTTGAAAAATGAGAAAGATTTTGACAACTCTAGTTATATTTCCTATCCCAAGTGTACTCTCAAATTTTCATATTCAATGTCTTCTATTCCAAATTCTGCAAGTACTTTGAGCTCATTTAATTCAACTCATCTTGTATACAGAATTCTTAATTCAACTAACATAAATTTGAACAGCTATACATTGTTTATATTTCACAGAGAATATAATAAATATGACGCAGTATCTTAGCAAGTCAATCTTGTTGTAACTTGCTCAAAGTCATAATTTAATTCTACTACTATAAAATAGTTATTTGTTGAATATAGGATAGGCCAACCTGAGAAAGCCATAGATCTAAATGATTCAATTTTACTTTTGCACCCAAGATGTAAATATAACTACACTCTGACTGCTGATATTAATCCATAAAAGATTTACTCATTTAATTCATTGACAAAGTAATTTCGAATATATGGAACAAATAACATTGATGCAAAAGAAGAAGCTTTTTCTATATATGTCAAGAGATAGGATGATTTAAATATAGCACTTGTAATTCCAGTATACATTAAAATTCTTCCATAATATTAAGGAGTGATCGCTGATGGATAAGAAAAATATAAGTGCTTAATTGATGATTCAGCAGTGATTTCCGGGCAAAATTTAGAAGTTAAACTACCTTAATGTATTCTCTAATTTGTATTTGAAGTTATGCCTGGCAAAGCTAATTCATTTGTAACGATAAACAGAGAAACAATAAATTTCAGCCCAACAAAATAAGATTTAGGACTTCACCTCATTCTAATATTAGTCAGATTGAATCAAGCTGAATAAACTATTGTAAAATTCAAAGTAAATGTGATTACCGAACCATTTCTTTTTTTAAAAGAGTGCCAAGAAAATAATAAATGCGATCCATTTATAAGATAAATTAACATGAAAGGAGAAGTATAGATCTATTTTCCTTAAGGTATAGAATTATATAACGAGACTAAATATTCTGAGGTAGTTCAAGGCATGGAATTTAGGATCGAAAATCAATATAATTGAGGGGTTAAAATTATTGCTTAAAAGATCATATCGAGAACAACTCAGTAGCTGAATATTTAGCTAATTTTCAATAAGCCTCAGTATATATCACA